GCCAGCTTAGTTAAAACAAGGGTCACTTGTTCATTTCAATGCTGGAGCATATTCATTTCATCAGTAGTACTCTCTGTGTAGTTCTACTGTTCACCTTTAGTTGGCATGAAGTGAAATTAAAAATTTCCTGAGGGGTGTAAGTTGGATGTTGGAGGGTAGCAGATTCATGACTGAGAATGTTGGTTCTAAATATTGACTAAATTATTCCACAATCATTGAAAATGGAGAGCAGAACTTTTAACACATAGGGGGTTATATGTGTTATAACATATAACATATGTGTTATAACATATAACATCTAGCTATAAACATAGGGGGTGCTTTAGTAATATGAAGTTATGCAGAGTAAACTTCTGAGTTCTTCTCATCTTTCTTTTTTTTTTTTTTTTGGCTCCAACCTTAATGTTAAAATCCTGATTCACACACTTGTCCTATCTTGTGTGTAGGGACACTGTTTGGAGCTGTCTTTCCTACACTCATCTCTTTGTAATCACAGACCACTGTTAGGAGGTAGAATTCTATCTCAACTTCAGGTAACACCTTTTAATAATTTCTTTGTCTGCTCACGAGGGCATACAATTTCTCAGTAAACCTTGGTGTCATCTAACTTTAACCATGACAATGTAAAATGCAAGGAAAAATCAAAGAATGCATGTTATAAAGCCAGTGACTTGGATGGACATAAAGCTATATATAGAATTGTCCTTCAAATGGTGTATACATACTTCCATCTAATGTTTGATTTTTCTCTCAGCCAGAAGAGTCTCAGTACCAAATAGCTCCAACTGAGTCCCATATAGATCTAGCTCCTCATACATTCTGCACCATCCTGCAAAATAAATTTGTAGGCACAAAAAATGTGCTTCTTCAGATCGATGCTGAATGTCATGTTATAGAGTACACCATAAGAGATGATGCCCTCTCAGCACAGTGGGAAGAGTTCTTCTGATTTTCAAATGGCAATATAACTTTCAAATCTCAAGTAAGTTTTAGGGAAAATTACAAACATGTTATATAATGACCAAGAGTAAAAGAAAAAATCAATATGTATCTAATTAGTAATGGTATTTCCTTTACTACAAGAAATGCACTTAGCAACTTTCTACTATTTCCTTTATTTAGAAATATTGGTGCTATCTATTCTCTATCTTTCAATTTTTTATCTATCTATCTATCTATAATCTCTCTATCATCTATCTATCTATTATATAATTATACTAAGGCTTTAAACAGAGCTCAGAAACATATGCTTTTACTTTTACATTAACTCCAATGTACTGGATACAGCTAAGTTCTGACACATGTGTGATATCCTTGCTAAATCTGTGAGCTTTCATATCTCTTGTTCTTTTTATCATTTTGGTCATACCCAGAGGCACAAAAGCATAGTGTTAATAGACTAGTACCATGAAGCACCAAATTAAAAGACAAAATATTTATTATTTACACAATGGTTCTGCCAGTCTCTATATAGATCTTTCCTATTACAATTAAAGCCTGCTGATGTTAATTTTTTAATGTTTTCATTGTACCAGAACTAAATTCATGAATAAATGATATCTTGTCATCCAACTACAGAATTTATGGTTGTTTGGGGCATGGTTTCAGAGTTGATTGCTTCTAAAGAGTTATTAGCAATATAGTGTATATTGTGAGGTTTAAAATGTGGTCTCCATTGACTTTCTTCTCCTTAAAGTAGTGAGAATTTTGAGAACATTGACTGGGGTATAGAAGCTGAAAACTTGATTGATGATCCAAACTAATTATCCTCCATAGCACTACTTTTGTTAATGAGATGTTTACAGCAGATTTCTAAGAGTTTGTCTCAGAGAGAAAAGAAAATACAATCTATTAATGAGGGGTTCTATCAAATGTTTCCCTTATCAATTGTTAGTAAATCATAGCAACTAAAACACTGGCTTGCTCATCAGATTTTGAATGCATCAATATGCCCAGTGGTGCCTGAAGGACTCTGTGAATCACCTCTGAGCATAATTTTGGTCAGAGTAATTAGCTGTTGTGTTTTGCACGGTACTGTGTTAAGGTTAGATCTTATTTTTTGGCTTATTTTTAATATTCTTTGCAAGCAGTGTGCAATCATCTATATAGTTCAAGGTACTATTTTCTTTGTTACTTAGATGCTGTAGATACTTATTATTAACCTTTAACAATGATGTTTTAAAATAGCAAAGTGTACTCTTTTTACCTCTCTCTCTCTTTTTGAGTGTGTATCTCTCTGTCTGTCTGTCTGTGTCTGTGTGTGTGATGTATATCTATGCTAAAACTTGATAACATTAGCATCAATGGGTTATTGTGTAGAGGAATTTGTGGGTAGCTGAGGTCAATGTGATGGGTTTCCCACAATCAATCTGAACCTTAGTTTTTGAAAGAGTGTCTTTCACTGAACCCAAAAGTCATTGATTCTGCAAGACTCAGCTATCCATAGAGCTCCAGAGAGCCACTTTTGTCTCTTTCCCCAGAGGATTACCAGCATTTACCACCATGCCTAGGTTTGGTTTTGTTTCTATAGTTTGATTTTCCATAATTAAACATTTTTTTAAAAATTTAGAGCATAGCCTTGATACCCACAGGTATGTGTAGTTTTCTTCCTTATTAAAAACATATCTGTTTACAATAGACAGAGACTTTCATAGTAAACCACTGCTTATCAAAATGCAGTTTTTATAGAAGAGACTCCTAACTGATATCCTACAGTAAAGTCCTGCACCTAAGGTTCAGGGCTTATTTCAGAAGAGTGTTCAGAAAGATTGTAAAAGAATTGGAACAGGATGTTTATTTTGAAATAACTTCTGGAAATGTTGAAGCTGCACTTATGCCCAGATTTTTTACTTTTATTTTTTTGTGTAGGCATTAGAAACTCAAACTCAGGCACCCAGGCATGCAATCAAACCCCGTAGAAGTGAACCATCTCCTAACATCCACCGTAGACACATAATATTTGCTATATTTCTTCTCTTACTGATATACTCCCTGAAGACTCTTGTATTGATTACTCTCAACTTCAGAAGGAGGTTAAATTTTAAGGATCATACTTCATGAACTGATAAAGAACTATGTATCCTTATATGTATATGTTATACAAATGTAAGACATAGATAAGAACAGGTTATATTTAAATAGATGTTAATTATTCAAAGTCATTATTTTTCTCCTCATTGAGCTTTTAAGATGCTGATGTTCCCATTATAAAGATGAGTAAACAAAACATGAATGGATTTAAGGGTTTGCTTAAGAGTATAGTTCTTAATATTTTCTGGCTCAAATAATTTTGAAAACTCAACATCTCTCTTGCATGAAAATCTATACAAAAAAGGTATAGACATTATTTATATACAAATAAATGTTGACAATTTCTACCACAGGGAATAAGTCTCTGCCTTGTAAGGTTTGAATATAGTCAATCTGTTTTTCAAACTTGACTTTGAAATGTTTCATCTTACTATGTAGTGTTCTCTGTTACCCATGAAACACATAGGAGAAATGTTTTTCATCCTCTCCTCTTGTGGTTTTGTTAACATTAAGTATCTTTAACATTTTCATATCTCCTATACAATATGTTCCTGAGCTATATAAAACTCTATAAATGAATTCTTTCATTTTCTCTTTTGCATTTATTCACTAAAGTTACATTTTCTGTGCTATTCTTGTAGTTCCTATGGGAGGCAGAGAAAACATATGCTGATATAATGGCTTCAGATTGGACAACTTCTGCTCCACACATCAAAGAATGGGAATTTAGCTTGCACTGCCCTGTTTTCCTGATGGCCACCAAAAGTCATCTAGTGTCAGGTTCCAGATGTTAGTCTTGTGTAAGGTTAACCTGCAGGACAATTGTCTATCTATCCTATGGAGTTTCATTTGTGTTTTTCTTATTTGTTTTTGAAGATTTGCAAAGCCTCCAATGAATCAAAGAGGAACAAGACTAGGACAGAACACTTTCTATGAAACAGAAGTGCTCCTTGAAAGCATACCTGTTACTAGTTACCTGCTTGCTCTGTGTTTGTGCAGTTGTTGATTTCTGTTTGCATGTAGCACTTTCAAATATAGAGCAACATTTTTCTATTTGTTTTCTCCTAAAAATACATTAGAATCTGGAGATTTTATTTTTACAGACAGAATTCATTGTGTGTGTGTGTATGTGTGTGTGTGTGTGTGTGTGTGTGTATGTCTGTGTGTGTGTGTGTGTGTGTGTGTGTGTAATTGTCAAAGTATAGGAGTAAAAGACAAGGATATTAAATCACAAACATTGCTCATAATTGTTTTAGAAGTTTGTATCAGAGATGCTGAAAACCTTGTATTGAGTATTTAGAAACAATCATTATAATTAATTTTGATGCAGTTTGAATATTCTACCATACCTCTTGGCAATTTTATTTGTGAGATGCACAGTACCACACTGGATGAATGTTTGTTTTATTGGAGAATTGATTCTTTGTTTTGCTCTATTTTTATCTGGAGGAAGAATAGCAAGGGAGAAGCTATCTGCTCAATACATCCCATACTCAATACTCCATTTCCTCACATGGTGAGCCACACATTACCTATCCAGTAACAGAATGTGAACTTTGTTCAGTCCCTTTGTTCTTTGTTCTGTTGATGAGGAAAAGGAGGACATTGTTTTAAGGACTTGATCTTTTCCTTCATCCTTAACTATATCTTACTTCTTACTGTTGACATATTGTGGCACTGTCAGTAAACACAAATAAATTGAACTATAAATATAACTAGACTGGAGGAAGAAATAAAGACAATTTGAAGATGGGGTGAAAGAATGACTTTGTCGATGAAAACTCTGAAGCTATAGAAAAGAATGTCATAAAGAGTGACTTTATGAATGTCTTTAGGTGCCCAGCTGAATGACATGTCTGGCGTAGAGTTATGTTTTAGGCTTTTGTTTTTCATTCATACAGCAATGTTATCCACTCCCCCTATCTCCTTCCTTCTGATCATCCTGTCATGTTTTGGCTACTGATACCTACATCCAATAGATCAGTGTTATTTGGTAATTCTGTACAGCCCGTGGAGCTGAATCCTCATCATTGATTCTCATATCTGTCACAGGAAGGACCTGCCAAACACAGCAAATGATCCGTACAGCTTTCAGTAGACTCAATTACAAGAACTGTTCATTTTAGTAAAAATGTATCAACAAAGAAAAACACTGCATACCTAGCACTGTATGTATGATAATTATCATGCAATCTAATCTGTCAAATTCCTTAAGTAATTTTTATTAAATAGTAATATTAATTTTGACATGTTTTGTTAGTGCAATAATATCAAAACCAATATTTTTTGTAATTCTTTTTGCGTTTTGCTAATAAACCATCTCCCTTAGTCTCAAAATGACTGCCTCAGCTCCAGGCATGACATTTGTATTTTAATAGTAGAAAGAATTAGACAGAAAAAAGGGGAAGCCATGCCACTCATTTATTTCTTTTAATTGAAAAACCAAAAGCCTTCCCCAAAGCCCTCAACAAACTTATGTTTTCACTGCTTCTGTTATTCCTAGTCAGTTGTCCCGTGGTTACCTGTGCCCATAGTACTTCATAAAAATAGTCTTAACTTTCTCAGCATCCATAGTGAGATGGCACTTGGAAAAGCCTCTTCAAACAGGTGACTTATGAACATAGTCAGTCCCCTTCTTTAGCTGTCAAGGAAATATTGAATTCTTGAATATGCACATATACAAAAATGATTGTAGTCTAAACTAATAAGTATCAATCCTCAGGAAAAATCATATTGGTTTCTACCTCCTGCTCAGTATTGCTCCTATGGTACCACATTCCTTGACAGCATCTGTTCTCTGAAGGATGATTTGAGTTCTTCATTTACCTAGATTACAACTTCTTTTGTAAGTTCTTAACAATCAAGGCAAACTAGTAATCAGTTAAACAACTTCTGACCTCCACAGTATAAAATATCCTACCAATCTGAACTGATCTCTGATTTTCCTTGACAAACCACCTAAAGATCTACTTAAAATTATTCTAATTGTCTTATTAACCTTTTTTGCTGCTAAAGGTCATATTTGGGATTTTGCCTTGGCAGAGCTGAAGAATGTGTCACTGTTCACATGTGATCTTTCTCAAGAGTAACCCTGAGACACATGAGAATTCCCTGTAAGCTGACTCACACGTCTGGAATGAAGGACTTTCTACGCAATACTTGAAACAGGTGGCCAGAAATCTGGCAGGCATGATGCAGGTCTGTAGGCTGGGGTGTCCACATTACTGAGCTATCAAAAGACAGGCCATGTGTCTCCATGAGAGCAACTGAGGGAGCATCTGCTGGGAAGTTTCTGAGTCCTGATGCCCTCAACTGCTTCTGGCTGAGCCTTTCGGGTCTGAGAAGAAACAATAAAACATCTCCAGTGAAAACGTATTCCTTTGTTAGCTTATGTAAGCTGCCTTGCCTTGATTGCAGTGTTCAGTAGTGAATACACTCACTGTACCTCAGACCTTGTCGTTGACATGCAAATAATGTGAAATGTTTGTTAATTTATAAAAGTCAGCTGCACCATTCAAGTCATGTGCTCTGAACTACAGCAGTGAGGTTTAGTTCAAAGGGACATAACATGAGACTTGACACTAGAGAAGTGAACCTTGTGTTTTTCCATGCCTTTTACTTGGCAAGCAAACTAACTCTGTTTGCTACTTTCAGCTTAAGAAATGATATAATTAAAGCTGAGAGAGGCAATTGAGTTACCTACATTCATTCACACATGTGGGAAAGAGTTCAATAAATTTGTCTTTCTTTTGGTATGTTGTGTCTCATGACAGATTATTTTTCAAACCTATTCCTTTAAATAGAGTTGGATAATATTACATTATAAAAGAAAGTATCATGGGACTTTTCTCTGCCTAAAATACAAATCCTTAGATCCAGACCAGAGTGACATTTTATTTATTTTAGGAGTGTATTTGCTCCTTGGCTTGTTTTTTCTCCTGGAATAACTGAATACCTAAAGCTGATTCACCTGAAACCCCACCCCAACCCAAGACTATGATGCCATATCAGTAAAATACTGTGCAAGTTTCTCCTTGACTTATAACATACCATCTAGAAACACATTTATCCTTCACTGATTATGAATTAACTAATGTAACATCTTTGCTGTCACAGCTGATGAGACTAAAATTAGTGCCACCAGGTGTGTTTTGGTAGGCACACAGGGCAGGTATGTTCTGAGCCCTTTCCATATCCTGGGTGTGCCTTCTTGCAATTAGAAGATGAAAATGTGTGCATGCTACAGAAATGCCAAGAATGTCTTAAATGGCTGGAAAGAATAGAAAACCAGGGAGTACTTTTGTCCTGTGTAGTTAGTTATTCCTTCAAAATACGAGAGTTTCCTTTGTTCTCACACTGACACTTTTTTAAAGCATTTGGTCACCATCTGATTTGGAGTTGACTTTTTTTCTCAGTGGTTTTGCAGACATATCCACTAAACCAAATATAAGGTTTATGATCAGGGGAAGTCATCTCGCTTTGTAAGTTACTCAACAAGTGTCAGATTGACATCCGATTATTTGTGATATATTATCTTCCTAAGCTTACCTTAGGAGTCACTGAGTGGTAAGTTGGCCTTTGTTCAGAATTCTTGCACACTACTGTGGTGAAGTGAGGGCATTGCTCTACTCATCTGTTTCTGCTTTCCATAGGGAATCAAGTGGGTTCCCCAAGACTAAAGAACAAGTAGCAGGAAATGTTACCAGGAAATGCTATTAAAAATGTGACTGGCTATGGTACACACTCTTGCTGACAATATCATTGCTTTGTTGGAGGAATGAAATCATTCCATAATGTTCCCATATCTATTTTCCCTCCCTTGCAATGCCCAGGGAGACAAGTGAATATGTATTTACCCAAATTGTATAAATTGTTATTATTTCATCAACACAGTTGTTCCTCTTGACATTTATAGAGTGTCCTTTAGGAGCTTTTTTAGATGCATTGCTCATAACTTTCTAGTAAATAAGAGGAGGCTTGTATGCCCTCTTCACAGGTAAGATCTTTGAAGTACAGGGTGATTAACTATGCTTCTGTGGATAATGAGGCACCTGGCTAGTGTCATCCATGTGCATGCTAAAAGATGGAAAAGATTGACACTCTTTCCTTCGGCATAGGTTTATTTACTGCCCAATATATTCCAGACACTGTTCAAAGTGTTGGAGATAGAAAGATAAATAAGACAATAAGATCCCCTACACTCATAGAGCTTAAAGATCAATAGGAGGACTCATTTTAAAAATTAAGAATGGTACATGCCTCCAAGCATTATAATAAATCACCATATAAGCTGAGGACATATCCTGTTAATGGAAGAACTGAGGAATGTGTCTGTTTACTACATGACATCCTATGCATGTCTGTGCATGTTTGTGCATAAATGTATATAAATGTTGTCTTGTTCTAGTTGCCCTTCTCTTATGAAGCTATCGAGGAAACTGTACATGTTAGGGACAAAATATTTGGATTCTAATGTGGTGATTTCTGGTTAAGCTGCTGCAGCTCTTGACGCCAAACAAAAATAAACTACAGCTGATTCATTAGGTGGCACATCAATACTACCAGCCACCTCACAAGGAGATGCAAACAGTGCTCGAAATTTGATTCAATGAAATAGGTCATTTCTCCTCCTATAATGCACTGATTCTGAGAAAGTTAGAGAGCCAGAGTTCAGGAACTATTTAAATGTGGTGAGGCTTAAGATATTGGGAGTTTACTAAGAAATAGTGATAGAAATTGTATTTAGAAAAGGGGAAAAGGCTCACCTGTCACCAAGTGACTATTCTTCAAGGGGTGACTAAAATACCTATATGTAAGCATCAGCTTTTATGTACCTTAATAAATAAAGTACAGTTATTAGTCACTGGGAAAATGGCTTTGAAAATGGAATCCTTAAGATGCTAATCCTTCATCCTGAATCATGTTACTAGACAAAGAAAACAATTGCTGAACAGGCTTCACTGAAGCCTGGAATGAATGAAATGGGATAAATGTAGAGAATACATAAACTTTAGTGATGATGACTCAGTAGAAGACACTGATGTACAATTTGAAGGTCACTGATAAATGACTCAGTGCTTTAGGATGCAAACGAAAGGCAAGAGCTAATTCATGCAGAGTCAGCAGACAACCAGCCTCAGCCAGGAACAAAGGATCCTATACTCCAGAGTTCACCCCAAAGCTTGGTACAGAAGTCACATTGGAATGTTACCTGATCCTCAAATGATGCAGCTGTGCCCTCTCCTAGTCCCTGATCAGAGCCATGAATTGTCGCTGTTTGTCATCACTGTGCTTTTATTTCCCCGTGTTCAGAGTCAACATAATTCTTGTCAGAGATTTCTGGTTAATAGAGTAGTATGGATGCTAGAAAAACAAAAGAAGGCAATGATGGAATTCTGTTGGCTTCTATAGGGAGAGAAATCATCCTGTCTTGACTATAATATATATAAAGGAAGTATATGCATCAAACAAAAGAAGTAGAACCAAGCCACTGGCCAGAAAGGAAAACACCATAGATATCTACTGCAAGGAAGATATGCCCATTATAATTACTGAGGTCTCAAATGTGCTTCTTTCCTATATATGGAATATAGGTAGGCAAGCCATCCTTTCAAAATAGGAAGAGAATAACCATTTAATGTGTCCATTGACTCTTGTGGAAGCATGCTTGTCTTAAAGTATTGGAAAAATAGCAGCACTAGCATCTGGACTTGTTTGATACATGCCAGTCACTGGGAATTGTAAAATTTGCTTAATTTCAAATCAGTCCTTTTTGTATCAGTGAGTGTTGTTGGCATGAGGTAACAATAACCACATTCCTAACCTGGCCCCTATTTTTATAGAGTGTGCATTGGACAATGTAGATGCTAAACAGGTGGAGAACCACACAGAGTGAGAATCAATAATCTTATTTTGGATATACTAAATTTGAAATGACTATTAAGCAACCACATAGAAATGTCAGAGGATAGGAGTGAACTGGAAATGCAATTTTGATTTTTATAAGAATATTATGTGGTATTTAAAGCCATAAAATGGGATGAGGTCATCCAAATTGTAATCACAATTTTAGAAAAAAAAATAGGGTCTGGGAGTGAATCCTGGACTACATGAGTAGTTAGGGCTATGTTGTAAGGAAAATTATTGAAGTAAATTGAAAATGGGACTTCCACATTTTATAAAGCTGCAGGAGAAAAATGTAGAAATGTAGTGAGAAAGAGACCCGCCTTATCTGGGTAGATGACTGACATCAGAAATGTGCTTGCAGTACAGTGATCATCTTAACAAGCAAGTTGGAGGTGATTGGGCTAACAATAATTGCAGCAAACAGATCAAGTCCACTCAATTCTCTCAGAACATGCTGTTAACTCATTCATGCTGTGTGTTATTCGATTATCATTGTTACCAGTTGTTGATTAAAGACCACACTTAGTTGGTTGAAAGTAACCCAAAACACTTACTCTGATTCAGATGAAGAAAGAGGTGAAGTATCAGACCGGAGTCAGAGTTATTGCTTTCAAGAATTCTTAGACAATAGGGAAATAAACAAAATACCAGCAGATATGCAATAGGCCATGAATCCTATTTAATTGAGTACATTGCTCATCATTACATCTCTGCATACATTTTTATCTTCAGTTCCTAATTCAGCAACTATCATTTGACCATTACTCTTTCACATTTGCTCTTTTACAGCATCTATATATTATAACTACAGTTATTAAATCAGATATTTTTGAAAGTCCTGTTCATATCACCTACTGCTAGAAATTTATGCTTTCTCCTTATTATTTACTAAATTGAAACTCCTAGTATATAACTCACAGCCTTGCATGGTTTATCCAATGCCATTTCTTAATAGTCTTGTATTCTGATGTGTGTAAAATATTGAATAATCCGACATGTTTATTTTAATTATATTTTATAAACCAACATGATAATTTTAATCATCACAGTGCTGTTTCTCATCTCTTCTGACTGAACTCTGTGTTTGTGTACGATTTTAAGCAAACCTTTCACAATTGTGTTTTGGGAAAATCAATATATCATATTTCATAATGTTTGTGAAAATTTTCTTCTTACGCTATGTGCATGTGGAAGAGAATGATAAAGAAATAGCAAGAGAATGAGAGAGTGGAAAAGAGATTAATTCTCAAAAACCTAAGTTGCTTTTGTATTATTTAGAAAACAAAGACTCCTAGAAGATCAAGAATGTGAGAAGTCAGCCTGAGCTACATAGTAGGATCATACCTTAAAATAAAAAAGCAGAAAATACAAGTTAAAGTCTCCTTCTTTGACCCTCCTGCATTCTGTATCTCATCATAATTACCACCACTAATAACAGAAAGCTGACATTTCTTGGTCATATCCTCCTTTGCAGTTTGTAAAACCCTTTTTACAAATTTATTCATAAAATCATTTATTTCTAATATGAAATGTGACCTCATCTCATTTTCTACATCAATCAATAAATCAACTTCAGCCCATCTTTTTGTGCAGTTTTACAGGCTTCTAAAACACATGTAATGTAGGGCCCATCCTCAATCAATGTGGTTTATCAAGGAATATTTTCCAAAGGAAAGATTAACAGACAACTGGAAAGGTTTTCCTCCTGGAGCTGAAACTCAGTTTGGAGCATTGCCCAGTCTGCATATGTCCCTGGGTTCCATCTCCAGCATGCTCATGCCAACATATAAAGTGTCTTTTGGTTGTCATTGTTTTCTTTAAACAATGTTCTTGCCCTCTTAGCAGGTAGATGACCACCAACATGTAGACACAGAATCATACTTAGGTGTTCTGTGTGATCAAGAAAAACTCTTGAAGAATTTAAGTATTGAATTATTATGTGGGACTGACTGAATTTGGTAGTGTCTGATTCAGGTTAAAGACTCTAGTTTATAGCTAATAAACTATACATTACTAATGTAGATAAAAGTTTATTTTAAATTTGTCAAAATGCTTCTGGATATGTCTATTTATTATACACATAGCAAAATGGAAAATAAAAATTAACTTAAAAAGAAAAAAATATGGTGGAGAGCTCTTAGGAATTGACTAAATTCCTAAATTCCCTAAAATTTCACTGTTAGGGAAATTTTTACCTGAGTATTGGTAAATGCTTGAGGTTTGCAATTGCTTCTATCTCTCTATCAATTCATTGAAATGAAGAAAGTCACAAACCTCAGGCTTTGGTACGAATAGGTGTATAGTGCACAGTTATCCCAACGCTTTTGGCAGGAGCTATTTTCTTCCCCAAGATCTGTTGGCTTCCGTGGTGCCTGTCAGGTATCCCTCATGTGCCCTTACTGCCTCTTCAGACAGACACTGGCTAGTAATCCACATATGATTTGGTAGCACTTAGGTATTCAATAAATTTTCCTGTATGTGAATTGATTGGAATCGGGAAGTTTCTCTGAACCTCCTGGTATCGACTCTCATCTTTTTTCCATTCTAGAAATAGCTAAATCTTTTATGTTCCCCAGAGAGCAAAATATATATCTGATGTTTCAGAATACTTGTTTCTGCTCTGACTTCGATATTGAAGAATAGAAACTAAAACAAATGAAAATGAACCTAATCTATAAAGATGAAATGGTGAAATATCTCTGTTTCAATGAATCAACTAAAACAATGCTTGAAAGACACAGATGGTTAATCAAATAAATAAATCAAGTTATGCATTTAATGAAAGGCCATCAGAGAGAAGTAGTTCTGCAGCTGTTTAACAAGAATGAGAAATTGAACCACATGTCAAAAATAGGGATGCTTTATGCTTACACAACTGAACAACATTCTTTTAAATGTGGTCTCCTTGGGGAAGAATCTAGGGAAGGAATTAGATATTGGCCTAGACAAAGCAATACCTATGATGAAGACATAAATATTCAAGAGTGAATATAAGTGTGTTACTTAGGAACATTCTAATAAAAATCATATTAATTAAACTTAATCAATTTATAAAATGGAATATGCTTTGGCTGTTCAAATAAATAGATGAGTTACATTTCATGTTTGAATTCTACAGTTGACAAAGTGAGTGTGCTTAATGCCATCATGATTCCAGCCTTCCAGCAGCAAGCTCATGTAGGTCATTGCTGACACAAGTGGAATTTGAAGCCTACGTACAAATTTGTATATTGCCAGTTTTACTAAGACAATGTATATAACCAACAAAACAAAATTTAATTCAGCTTATTAACTAAAGACAACATCTTATTCTTCGAAGAGTATTTGAATTTATGTGAATTAAAATGCAGATTATTGTGAGCAGGGGTAAGTAAATCTATTCCATTAAGAGCCATATATTTTATAATTTTGGTTTTATGAGCTAGGTGATTTCTACTGAAGGTACACGAGCTGTGATTGTAGATCAAAACCAATCATATGCTATTTTCAGCTTCTTGGTTGTGCTTCAGTAAAAATTTTGTGTATGAAAATAAATGATAGCTGGGCATTGGTGGCAAACGCCTTTAATCCCAGCACTTGGGAGGCAGAGGCAGGCAGATCTCTGTGAGTTCAAGGCCAGTCTGGTCTCCAGAGCGAGTGCCAGGATAGGCTCCAAAGCTACACAGAGAAACCCTGTCTCAAAAAACAAAAAATAAAAAAAGAAAAAAGAAAATAATTGATAACCTAGTGTGCCATACTTTACTAACCCATAATCTCATGACAGTGTGAAGACAGTTCCCAAAAACAAACTCACTATAGGAAATTGCCCAACACAACCTAACTACAAAGGCCATCCTGAACAAGTGAGCTGAATCAATCTCAGCCAAGGAAAGATGGAATGAACATGGCCTATTGCATAAAATTAGACTCCCCTCATCTCCACTTCAATTCCCTACTATACATGTCATCTTTAGCTTTTATTTATGAAGCAATTTGACATTTTCCACTGATATCTGATGGGGAAGGTAATGAAGATTATGCACTCAGAAATTTTCTTAAAGAATTTGCTTTAAATATTGCTTGAAAAATTGTCTTAACATTCACAATTTCAAAAATCGCATTACTTAAAGCTGGAACAAACTGCCTATACCATCTTTTCCTAAGCCACATGGAGTGGATTCTAATGTGTTAGGAGCTATGAAGATATTTTTGAGAAATTCCATGTTGAATAAATTGAATTAACTTCATTACAGAATATTCACAGGCTTTCATGCTAAAGAGGGTGGGGAAGTATATTCTGCACAGTTTCCTAAATGTTACCTAACGAGGAAATTTCTCCACATACACAGTTCTTACCATATTGCAGAGTATGGTTTTTGGTAATAACATTTGAGAAAGCAGTACTCTGTAATCTAGATAAAAGTTTATACATTTCAATAAATGGACTCCATAATGAAGGTATTTAGCAAAGAAACTACAATGAAATGTCAAGAGCTATCAATCCTTAATTTTTTTATTCATTGTGAAAAAATAATGAATTTTTTATTCATTTATTCATAAAATTTTATTCATTTATTATTTTTGTTTCATTGGTTTAATAATTATTAAAGGTTTATCATATGAAAGATAGAACTTTATTTTTCCTCTGGGGAAAAAGGTGGGGTTGCTCACATTCTGTTTCATATCTGTACAAACATCTTTTGGGGAATTAATAAGAAGAGAAACTTTTATTTCCAAAAGGCACCATTCACTGCATGAAGAGCCACCGTGAGTGAACTGGAATAATATTTGGCCATCACTGGAATGAGATTAAACTCTGATAAAAGATCTTTATGCTCTGGGCTCAGAGATCCTGCAATGGAGTTGTGATGGGTATTGGAAACTAGTACTTCTGCATTGGTATGATTGCAAAGTTTTCTGGTGGTTATTTAAACAGACACTAGGAAGGTGAATTATATTTGGGCAATCGTGTGTATATCTAAGGGCACAAATCTCTTTTACCTGGTCTCAGCAAAACACTAGAAAACACAAAGGAGTATTTCAACTAAATAACTGTTGTAAATTCAGCATCAGGTGCTCAGTGCTGCTGTCCTAGGGGTGTCCTATGATATTGGTGCCAAAAGCAGCACAAATCATAAGTGTGGTGAGATAAATAACTACGTTTCTTCTACATTCTTTATACTGATACTTCAACACACAACACACACACACACACACACACATAAACAGGCACATGTGCACACATGCATAAAGGAGATTAATTCTTTTTCATTTGTTCTTCAATTATTGTGGTTTGTTTTAGAAATTCAGTTATTGTTTCCTTTCCCATATGACTGAGCTGATGAGTAGTATTTAAATGAGTATTTCAAACATTTAACATTTAGATTTTGTTGATAGACCTTGATGGCAGTGGAAAAGGCTTTCCTGCCCAAACCTCTAATTTCCTCATGATAGAAAGAACAATTGCTAAATAAAGATGAAGGTTGTATTGGCTCTTTCCCTTGGTAAATACTTAGAATTCCCTTAATCACTATTATTAGTACCAGTGCTAAATGCAAATGGTCAAAATCAGAACACTTATTTCCAATGCTTTTTCCGTCCATTCCTCTTGTAACCTTGGCATTTGCTGCCATCATATACTTTCTTTACAGGGTATGTGTGGCTACACAAAAATGGTGAAATGCGAACAGCTATCTAGGAAAGGAGTTGAATGAATTGGTGGAATTAGTAACTGGAATACAAAAGAGAATTGTGAAAATAAAACCAATGACTTATTCTTAGCAAGCCAAGATAATTAAATAGTAGCTCTGGTGTCATTTAATTATTTTTCCCAAATAGTGCTATCATTATATATGACCGTGGAATAATGTTGCTAAATTTACCTGGCAAAGTAGCAAAATATGAATTGAAACCTATTTATTCAATTGCCAAAAAATTGCCATTACTGTGGCTTGGAAGCCATTTGAAACACACCTAATAGAACAAAGCACACTGCAAATTAATGTACAAGGGAATGAGTGGATTCTTTACTCCAAGTCTTTTGTCTTAAGGAAAGCTTTAGGAATGGAAGCCAAATAATTGTCCTTAAGACCATGAAATGAATCAAAACAACTGAAAATGGAGTTCAAGATTACAACAAAAAAGGTTTTCTTCTCTCTGAATTTTTCTCTGTTTGTGCCATGCAGGCAGACTCCTAGTATATGTCATAGAGTCCCTTAGGTTGTCTTCTTGCTATAACTTTGACATAACTATTCTCTTTTGTCTGGTTTCATCATTTCAGACCCCTCTTTACACCCAGTTCCTGAGATGGCTCCTTGCATCCTCTTTCCTACTGGTTAGAAGTGAATGTGTGCTGTGATTTGTAAACAAAGACCTGCTACTTAGTGATTCATTAACAAAAGTCCTTTCTAAAAGTCTCCCTTGAAGTATGGTAATATGTTAGCTTAACTACAAACTGCTTCTTTCTTGAGAAATGTCATTCTGAGGAAATATTAATTGAAAGTGAACGCCTGCTAGATAATATATTCCAATTTACACATACTTGAATATATTCAAGTGCTCTATTTCTCTTTCAATAGTCGGTAATAATGGTAGTAGACCAGATGTTTTAAGTTTATCAAAGAAGCATAACTCACAAAAGTACTTATAACTATTTCTGAGTTAGATCCCCAACAAAAATGAAATCTGTATACTTGTTAAAAGGTTCTATCTATGTTTTCTGGTTTAAACATCAATTTTATTATAAGCCAAAAGCCAAACAAAAAACAAAAATGGTTCAAATATTTTTACTGTATAAT